TAAAACAGGTGGACCTGCTCCAAATGCTTCGGGCCAAGCTAGGTAAAGAAATATTTTAAAATTATTTAATTAACATGATATTTTCGTTCGAGCTCAGTCGAGCTTGCAAATAAAAAATAAATTAAATTAAATAAAAAGTAACTTTATATTTTAGATTTTTTATTAAAAATATCATATATATACATATAAAAATAAAATAAAATTATTTTAAATCAATGTTCGTGAATATTATTGAACGTTTGCGGACTCATGTTCATTAGACTATTAAACAAACCTTGTTTTTGTTCTATCTTGACTTGATTAACAAAAGAATGAGCTCTTATTGAACACAAACGATTTCGAACAAGATTTTGTTCGGGGAATGTTCGGTTCGTTAATAAACTTTAGCTACTTTAAATAAATTATGTGCAATTTGCTTTAGAAAGATAATGTCAATATCAAAAGTACTTTTAAAAATTTTATAATCATAGGATTAAAAGAAGTCAACACTTTTATATGAGTCATAATTTTAAAAACAACGTCATAACAATTATTATTACGATATTTTTTAAAAGTTCATTATATAATTATAATTTTAAAATATTTCATTATATTGTTATTTTGTTAATGCTTTTTAAATAAGGTCACAAATATTTAGTTTTAATTATATTTTTTAAAAGAGCTACTAAATATATGTCGGTAAATAAGGCGACACAATTTTAAAAGTGATAACATAAAACTAAATATTTTAGATAAGTGTTGTCATATAAAAAGAACAACGCTTTTGTATAAGTGTGAATTCAATAATATTTTTAAAATGACGTCACCATGCTGTAAAATAATGCGACGCTTGTTTAATAATAATGTCACTAACTAAATAGTTACGCTTTTCTTAATTGTTGTTATATGCTTAAATATGACGACACAATTGTATATGTGTCATAAATGTAATTACACTTTGAGGAAAATGTTGTTATAATAGTAAAAATTGTGACATTTTCTAAAAAGGCGATACTATTTTAATACAGCTTTCAACACGTGTCGCCATATAACTAAACATGACGAACTTTTATATAAAACGTCATAATATAACAACACTTTTAAATAAATGTCTCAATATTGATTAACACAGTGACACCCTTTAAAAAGTGACATAATTTGATTACACTTTTTAAAAGGCGTTGTTATAATTTTACCCTTGTAACGCTTTTTAAAAAGTGTCCCAAACACATCAATTTTAATTACATTTATTAAAAAAGTCACAATATAACTTAAGTAATTAAAATATAATAAAACAAATTATAAATATAATGAAAAAATAAATTAAAATAAAGTCAGATAAAATTTATTACAGTAGAGTGCATTAAAATTAAAATAGATTAAATATATTTATATATTTCTTATTTATTGAAATAAAACTAGTTATAGAATTTTGGAAATGGGAGTTAATGATGATAAAATAAAATTAACAAATAAACTAGATTAAAGAACACCAGTTAAAATAAAATAAAATTAATATAATATAAGATAATAAAGTATAAATATAATTCCACACGCCCATTTTGCTGAGGGGTGCCTACGCAAGAAGTCTCATGCAAAATCCCTTGACAACAAAAATAAAAGGTCAAACACATGAACTCGCTTCCATTATCACTACGAACAACACGCACTGATTTATCAAATTGTCGCTTAAGCAACTTCCGTATTATATTATATTATGTTATTTATATTTTATTTTAACTAGTGTACTTTAATCTAGTTTATTTTTTAATTTAATTTTATCATTATTATCTTTCATTTCCAAATTTATATAACTAGTTATTTTAATAAACAATAAATATATAAATATACTTAGATTTAATTTAATTTTAATGCACTCCATTTTAATAAATTTTATCTTAATTTATTTTAATTTATTTTTTCATTTAATATATATAATTTATTCTACGATACTTTAATTATTATAAGTTTGTATCTTATTAATATAATTTAATATAATCTACATTATCTTCAAAATTAAATTTTATTTATTCATATGTAATGACTATATATGTTAAACGCTATTATATTTAACATACAACTTGGACTGGTGTGGTGGTTACAATGCTAATATGCAACCTTGGGGGTCACAAGTTCGAACCTTAGTAACGCTTAATTTTTTTATCTCCATGTCAACACAAATCGTCATATCAACAGCCATCTCCATGTCAACACAAATCGTCATATCAACAGCCATGTCAGCAGAAAAACTGACCTGTCAGCGGCCATGTTAGTAGACAAAGCCCAAAATTGGGCCCTGTGCATCGAATTGTCAATAATAGTCAAAGTTGTGTTTATATTTTCTAACTTTAAAAGTAGTGCACATAATTGCAAATTCCAAAAATGTGATAATTAAGCCTATTATAATTTATAGTCACAAAACAAACTATATAATAACGAATATTTTGTAAGTGTCATATTAAATATACTAAAAATACAACGATTTGTTTTTGTCATAGTGACTTTTGTCATAATATGTATAGATTTGACGAATTTAGATGTATTATAACGTATCGTCACAAAAGAAAGTTATATAACGACGAGTTATGCGTAATTGTCATTTTAAATACACTAAAAACACAACGAATTTGATTCGTCAAAGTGAATTTCGTCATAATATGTATTAATGTGACGAATTTAGATGAACTATAACGTATCGTCACAAAACAAATTTATATAATGACAAAATTTTTGTAAGCGTCATTTTAAATAAATAAAAAAACGACGATATTTATTTCGTCGCACTGAATTTTGTCATAATATGTATTCATGTGACGAATTTAGATGTATTATAATGTATCGTCACAATAAATAATTATACAATGACGAATTAGTCGTAAGTGTCATTTTAAATAACAATAACAGTGACGACATTTTGTTTGTCACATTTAATTTCGTCACATGTTATATACATATGACGAACTTAGATGTAAAGGTAACGAATTGATGTGCATTGTCATGAAAAATACCATTATGTGACGAAAAATAAATTCTAAGATGACGAATGTAATAGTCGTCGCCGTATGCAATGATATAATGACGATTTCTTAAATACGTCACCATAAGGCAACATACGGTGACGATTTGTTTTTCGTCACTGTTTGGCAGATTTCTTGTAGTGAAACATATTTAAAACGCTTTATTTATGAAATTATTCGAACACGAACGAACTCGAACTTTGACGAACAACTAAACGAACAAGCTCGAACACGATTTTTTGCTCGAAAAATAAATGAACAAAGACGAACACTGTTCGAACGTAAACGAAGCTCGAACAGCCCAAGCTCGGTTCAATTCGGTTCGTTTATAGCATTATTTTCAAACTCATAAACCATCAAATACTCTTACTGTAATTGTCATTTGATTATAAAAAAAATAAAAATAAAAAACACAAATAATAATCACCTCCTATAAAAGCATGTCTTCATTATCTATTTTTCACACTCAAACAAAATCAATCATACGAAAACTAACAAAATAAAAAAATGTCTTCTCATACACTCTTTGCCTTTCCTCCTACTCCCTCAACAGCCCCCGACCCAAGTCACTCTTCTAATAACCCATCTATAAACGTAGAGAAACCCAGACACATCATGAAATCCAACTCCCGGAGGCAAATCTCGAACAACAAATCCAAGAGGCAATCCCTTCACCCATGGAAACACAAAAATTCGGGTGGTTTGCGCTAATTTTTGTCTCTTCAGCCATAAGCATCACATTTTTGTTAGCCCCCAACAAAAACCAGTTCAGAAAAGTGTTGTTTAAGCCCTTTGAAAAAATACCGAATGGTGCGAAAGTTGCCATTGTGATGTGTCTGTATGTACTTTTTGTCGCTTTTATTGGAATTGTGGCATTGTATTACAAAATTAGTTTTTTGGGAGAAAAAAGAAAAAAATTGGTTGTTGGAAATTTGGCCCAAATCTCAAGCCCAAGGAAGCCCTGGCCCAAATCCCGTCTGGGCTTGGCCCTCTTGCTCACTTACCCGATTTAAGCTGTACTGTTGGATTAAGGGATTTAATCCTAACCCTCAATTGCACCTTATATACCGACACTCCTCACTCAGCCTACCAGAACAGAATAACAGCGCCCGATCCCTCTCTCTCTGTGTGAGATTAAAAACCTATCTCCTTCTCTCTCTCTCTGAGGAACACCCTATCAATTCCTCTTGCGAGTGTCGCCGCTGAGACCCGCATAGTGCTGTCGCCGTCGCCTAGTTTCCCGTCGCCGGATAAAGCCCTTGCGTGGTGCTTTCCAGCAAGCAGCTGTGCGAAGGCGAGGCTTTGCGACGGTGGACCTGGTGCGTGGCTCGTGAGGAGGCGCAGCCCGGGGTGCGGGCTGAGGAACCGGGGCCGCCGTTCGTTGACCACTGCCGAGCCGTAACTTACCGAGGGTTCCGGGTTCAAGGGCTATCTGAGCCGGACTTCGTGTCCTAATTACGAACGGGTTCCGATGAGATAAAGGGAGTCTTTCTTACCCTTCTCTTTTATTTTTCCTGTTACAGCAATTTACTTAGTGTATTTGTCTCTTTGATTATTGTTGTTATTAGGAATTATTAAGTGTAATTTGTTTCAGCTGAACAGGGGCTGAAAACGGGCCTGGAAAGAGAGCTTGGAATCAGCCCGGGACAAAAGAGAGCTGTCCGGGAGGCCCGAACACGAGCAGCATCTTTGTCAGGCTCGAAAGGGGCTGCGAGGGGGTCGGTCGGTCGAGCTCAAAAAGAAGTATACAATATGTAGAATGTGGGATGACCCTTTCATCGTTTTAAAAGACTGTCACGATGGCCATTCTACATTCTACCATATTGTATACTTCAATTTTTGTCAATAAATTGATAACCGGAAGACATGAAGATACGGATAAGGGATTTTTTCTTATTTTTTCTGAAATCATGATTAAGCTTACCACGAAATGGTTTCAATTCAAATACCATCTTACTTTTATGGTATTTGCTTTATACAATTGACGACTGAACTCTTACTAAAATGAAGGAGGAAAAAGCAAGCGATCCTGTTTTCGAGCTGGGATGATGACTGAAAGGACGAGAGGGATAAGGGCTTGGTCCTTTTTACCTGTGCATCCAAGATTTGTTTTTATCTAGAGAAGCGGCAACGGCAACACTCTCTGGAGGTATTGCGCAGTCAGGTAGAGGCCGAAAAGCTCCTGGTCAGTCCATCCAATGAGTCTCTAGCAGGATCCGAATAGCTGCGGCAACGACCCAAACAGAAATATCAGCAAGGGGGGCAGATTTTGAGCAATCAAATGAAACTAATCACCATTACCATGCCAGCACTTTTAAGTGTGTATAATGCAGCCACAAACTGAAAAATATATAAGTGATTAGAAAAAATAAATCAAGTGCATGTTGTGAGTGAGTGCTGTATGAGTGATTGATTTTCAATTACTCTAGTTTGATCTTTGTTGAATGGAGGGAAACAGATAGAAATTAGAATATAGTATTGAGTGAGTTCAATTGTGCTTTTTTGCGTGCTTCTTTCCTTATCTCAGTGTGGTCTTCGTTGAAAATGGACGTATATATTTGTGATTTGAGGTTACATAAGTACCTTTTTTTGTATTTTTCTTTTGTATTTTTCTTTTGTTTGTGTGATTAAGTTGAAAGTTGTATTCAAGAGATACAAACTGGAGAATAAGTTGTTAAATTGGTGAGTATATCGTAACTCGGAATATTGAAGTTTTTTTTTTCAATATATATATATATATGGAATATTGATTTTTTGAAAATGGACGTATATATTATGATTATGCTGATTGTGACTTTGTTTTCATGAGCTACAAGAAAACCCAAGATGAAGCTCCTACATCTCAAGGTACGCAATGAATGATATGTTTTTGACTTTTGATCATTTTTTCTTTTGTGAAATGTGTTCTAGACCTTTTACAGTTGGGTGGAAGATTTTGGTTTATTCATTTAGTTGCTACTGCCTTATTAAAGTAACAGCTTTTCATCATACGAATGTTTTAATTTTTTTTTAACCATGCATTTAAATGGTGCTCACCTGAACAAAGTGAAGGGGTGACGATGCGTATCAGTTGTTATCTTGACTACATTATTTGCAGAGAATATTTTACATTGTTTTTCTCTGGTTTTTGTGGGTGTGGGTGTGCGTGTGCTTCATCGAGTGATTGGAGAAATCATGTGTTTGCACGATGATTGAGAGAAATGAATTAATTTTAATTAGTTTCCAATGACTGTTTTGTGACATTAAAATACATTAGCAGGCGACAATTGGTCATTAGAGTGATTCGTTATCTGGTTTGGGTTACAGTTTTGTTGATCTTACAACACTTATCAAGTTAATGGCATAGAATTTGTATCCCATTACTTTTGATTCAAGAAATGAGAGGATCTTAATTAGTTTACAATGATAGGTTTGATACATTCTAAAATTTTATATCACATATGCTGTGAAAGTATGAAAGTGATTCGTCGTTGTCTGGTTTGGGTTGCGTTGATTTGTTGATCTTAAAACACTTATCAAGTTAATGGAATAGAATAATCATCACATTAATTTCGAACGCCCATATAAATTTTACCTCTTTTATTTAGTAACATGCTATATTTTCTTAAATGTTTCCTTTCTTTGCACGTTTGATTTGTCCAATAACGGTGATACTAATTTGATGCATTCGAAGGCTAAGCAAACCCAAAAGATCAAATCTAAGGAAGAAAGATGCACGTTCGGTGATAATAAAGAGGAGCAAAGATGTTGTGAAGTTGAAGGTCTGATTTCAGGAAGAAAGATGCACGTTCGGTGATATTAAAGGGGAGCAAAGATGTTGTGAAGTTGGTGGTCTGATTTCTATTGAGTTGATGCATTTCCTTGTGAGACTGTTCAAAATTTGGAAGCTCAAATGGATTATAGTTAATTTGATGTGAGTTATGTTTAGATTATAGTTTTTTGTCGTGATTTGCGGTGAATATTGCGCAACTTCTGTGTAAATTGTTGTTATTTATTGACAGGTGTCGAATAAATTTTCACTTTATCATGATCTTTGTACCAACAGATTAAAAGAATTAACATGGCACATTGCCTAACATTTATTAATGCAGAAACTTGGTTCTGAAACCCTCCTCCAATGCGTAATGGTTNACAAATAACAAACTAATTCAATAAAGTTCAAGGTAACTTTGATTAAGAAGTTTTATAATTAAAATCAATATCCAGCAAAGAGAACATATCCATGCCAGTAATTAAAACTATTAGACCTATTTAATAAATGTAGTTGCCAATATAGAAAAAGAATCATGTTATCTAAGTTGTTCAAGTTGAATTAATAGAAGCAAAAGAGTAATTTTTCTTTCTCATGGGTCTTAAATGGAAGATTATTTATCTACAACTCTTATTATCATCTTCAATTCAAATTAGCAAAACAGCTGTACTACACCAATTTCAAGTTCAAGTTGCCCAAGCAAGTATTTCACATTATTGGTTCTTATAATTCACGATGCGATGGACATCAATTTTTTTCATCACATTATGCTTTTATCTGTGTACGTACTGTATTATTGGTTCAATTTTTTGGCAAACTTGTGATGTCGATAGGTTTTCCGAAATTAGGGCTGCCTTCTGACGGGGAGTTTCCCGGTGGTTCCCCGAGTGTCGAACCAAAAGGTGGTCGGTCCCATGGATGAGTTCTCCCTCAGCCAGAAGCTCTCCCTCCACCGTGAGTTCTCGTTCCGGTTTCATGATAATTGGGTGCGACTGATTTAATTTTAGACCCGGTTTGTTAGACGGGTCATGTTTTGTGTATTTTGATGGCTTTGTGCTTGTTTGATGTGTCTATGGGCTTGATTATGATCACTGTTTCCCTCCATTCAACAAAGATAAGACTAGAGTAAATATAAATCAATCAATCATACAGCACTCACTCACAACATGCACTTGATTTATTTTTTCTAATCACTTATATATTTTTCTGTTTGTGGCTGCATTAGCTGGCATGGTAATGGTGATTAGTTTAATTTGATTGCTCAAAATCTGCCCCCCTTGCTGATATTTCTATTTGGGTAGTTGCCGCAGCTATTCGGATCCTGCTAGAGACTCATTGGCTGGACTGACCAGGAGCTTTTCGGCCTCTACCGGACTGCGCAATACCTCCAAAGAGTGTTGCCGCTTCTCTAGATAAAAATTTTTGGTCACAAATCTTGGATGCACAGGTAGAAAGGACCAAGCCCTTATCCCATTCGTCCTTTCACTCCTCATTCCCAGCTCGAAAACAGGATGGCTTGCTTCTTCCTCCTTCCTTCTAGTCAGGAGTTCAGTCGTCAAACCATAAAAGTAAGATGGTATTTGAAACCCTTTGTTGATGCTATCGTGGGCTTAATCATGATTTCGGAAAAAATAAGGAAAAATCCCTTCTCCGTATCTACCATATATTCAGCCACGGTGTTTTCCGGTTGACAAAAATGGAAGTCTACAACATGATAAGATGTGGAATAGCTCTAAAACAATGAAATTCGGATAGCTCTAAAAGGGCCATCCCACATTCTAACATATTGTATACTTAATTTTTTTTCAATAAATTGATAACCGGAGACATAAAAGCGTGACTGAATATATGGTAGATACGAAAAATGGATTTTTTCTTATTTTTTTGATTAAGCCTACAACAAATGGTTTCATACCATCTTACTTTTATGGTATTTGCTTTAACCAATGTTGTGTGGCCGTCCCGATTCCACCGCTCGACTCATTGGGCTCATTGGTTTCAAGCTTTGTTTTGAGCTCGACCGACCCTTTCGAGCCCAACAGAGATGCGGCTCGTGTTCGGGCCTCCCGGGATGATTCCAAGCTCTCTTTCTGGGCACGTTTTCAGCCCCTGTTCAGCTCAAACAAATTACACTTTGTAATTCCTAATAACAACAATAATCAAAGAGACAAATATACTAAGTAAATTGCTGTAACAGGAAATAAAAGAGAAGGGTAAGAAAGACTCCCTTTATCTCGTCGGAACCCGTTCGTAATTAGGACACAAAGTCCGATTCAGATAGCCCTTGAACCCGGACCCCGCGGTAAGTTACGGCTCGGCAGTTGTCAACGAACGGCGGCCCCGGTTCCTCAGCCCGCACCAGGTCCACCGTCACAAAGCCTCGCCTTCGAACAGCTGCTCGCTGGAAAGCACCACGCAAGGGCTTTATCCGGCAACGGGAAACTAGGCGACGGCGACGGCACTATGCGGGTCTCAGCGGCGACACTCACAAGAGGAATTGATCGGGTGTTCCTCACAGAAAGAGAAGGAGATAGGTTTTTAATCTCAGCGGCGTTTGTAAGAAAGAGCATGTTTAATGGATTTAATTTTTTTTTTTTATTTATTTATATCGTGTTGCATACAATTTATTTTTTGTGAATGTATTTGATTGATTTTATGCTTGTTTATTGAAAAATATTTGAGTGTTCAAATGCTTGGTTTATTGGAAAAGATGTGGATTGTTCAAGTCAGATTATTTTCTGTATATAATCTATGTATTTAATCAATCAATCAAGTTCTTATAACGTTCTGTTACAAAAAAAACATACATCTACTAAATGCTTGCCTTCTTATCAACAGAAAAAACACATACAACATTCGGAAAACTCGTGTTAGAAAGAAATGAGAAATAGGTAGTCTCAGATTTCTAAAATATCCATGACAAAAGCATACTTGAAGTAAAATTAGATGTTCAATTCTGATAAAGTAAATCTAAAGAAGCCATGATTTATACGGGTCTTCTGTACAATGAAGAGGAAAATACAACGTGTACAAAATCAAAATTTTGACAATATTCAAAATGAAGCAATATGAAAATAAGACGAAATTAATTATTATTCCAATATTCAAAAGCAATTAAAGATAAACTTAAAACTGACCGAGAAATTAGTGAATCTACCTCTATTTGCAACAATTGCTCATTAAACTGGCCCAACAATTTAGACAGCGAGAGTCAGATCATTGCAAGGGAGAAAGATAATCTCATGAAGTTTTTTAGTTGACAATGGCTAGGAGATTATGGTTGAGTTCTCAAAATACCTGAAAGAAGGATGCAAATGCAATAAAGTTATAATAATTAATATAAAATTAATGGCAATGAAATAAATTACTTAAACATTTGTTATTCATATAGATATGTTTTGTAACTACACATCTTTAATATTAATTGCCATTTACGTCCTTAAGAATTAGACTGCATATAGGTATCAGTGAGTATTGACAAATCAAAAATTTCAATAAACAACTCGATTGCAGATATTTGGGTGATAACAAACGACAGAAATCCAAACATAGACACCAGTTGTTTGTGGCTAGGAAACACTGGGGCCTCCTATCTTCCCATGTCCCCTGAAATCCTCACTCAAGTTCATCTGCAAACATTCTTTCTCAGCCATATCAAATGATTGGAACTAGGTGCGAAGCTCTTACTTCCATCAGGAACTCCGCACAGACCGCCAAATGATGAGGATTTACCCATATCTAGGTAGAACCAGTTGAAATGAGCTCCGATTCGTCTGAACCGTCTCTAAATCGCCACGAACACCTGCAAGAACTCAACGCCGGAGGGGTTTCTGTCGTATAGCTTCCGATGCTTAAGTCAATATCAGAAAGAGATGAAAATACTCTGCCCAGAGAGCAGCAGCATATGGAAATGTATAGAGAGTGTAAAAGTTAGGGTTTGGTGTTACTTCAACCCTTTTAATAGAGGAAAATACCTACTCTAAATACACAAAATGCCTCAGGTTGACCGGCTTGATCGCCCGATTTCATCTGTATCCTAATCACCTCTTAGTTAGGCATGAGTCAGCTTAAGATTCCATCTTATCCTATAAAGATTCGTTCTTATCCATTAAATCTGTTGAATGTATAAAGCCTCCCTAGTCGTCGCACCTCGAGCCTCGAAGTATAAAGAGTCGACCTCGAGTAGCAAGTGGTCGACTTGGAATCCATTAAGCATGTTGAATGTATAAAGCCTCATTAGTCGTCGTACCTCGAGCCTCGAAGTATAAAGAGTCGACCTCGAGTAGCAAGAGGTCGACTTGAAATCATCATGCTGATGAAATACCTCAGGGGTTTCTACTATTCACCCTTGACTCATTCTCATCTTCTCAAAGTACGATGTCGACCCCTAGTTATACAGTTAAAGAAGTCGACTTACAGGTGTCGACTTCCTCTGTCGTTATGAGATAGGTAGTCGACCTCGAGTTACGGGAGGTCTGAGGTCGACTTCAGGATACTTCCCATGGTGAAGGAAACCACCGTTGATCTGTTCACCCTTCACAAGTGTCGAGTTCTAGAGACGAGGTCCTGTATGAGCTACTTTCTCGACTCAACTCGACTTAGGTAACTCGTCTGGATACCCGGTCGAGCCGTTATAACCGGTCTGCCCAAGTAAGGCTATATCGCATATTAATTTTTTGGGCCGAACATACAGATCCATGGAGCAATTAACATATTTGTTAGTGTGTATCTAGAGCTGTAAACGAGCTGAGAGTAGCTCGAGCTCGAGCTCGGAGCTCGCCTCATTAAGGCCTCGAGCTCGAGCCTTAACGACCTGATCTAGAGCTTTAACGAGCCGAATTATAAAAAGTTATATACAAACTATTTTCGAGCCTTATTGAGCTGACTCGAGCCGAGCTCAGAGCTCAACTCGTTCACCAATCGAGCTTTAAATGAGCTCAAGCTCAGCTCGTTGAGGCCTCGAACTCGAGCCGAGCTCGAGCCTTAGGGTGTGTTTGTAAAAGAAAATACTCAATTCGAATTAATTCATACTCAAAATCTAACTCAAATTTAACTCAACCACTCTATCATCAACATTATCAATAAAATTAAATAATAAAAACTAATCATTAAATAATAACAACCAATTATTTTTACACATCATATCAACTTTAATTCACTATTCATTCACTCACATAATTTTAAATAACCATCACTTCATATCATCTCTCTCATACTTTTATATCAAGTCAGTTTTAATTATTTTATTTTAAATAATTTTTTAATATAAACTCAAAATCTCACCAGCAATTAATTATATAATTTTTTCTAAATTAACCTTAATTAACTAAAAAAAACTCATTTTGAGTTAATTTGAGTGACCCTTTTTTCTTTTACAAACACACTTAACTAGTCGAGTCGAGGCAAGTCGAGGCAGACTCGTTTAATTTAACTGCACTAGTTTATCAGATTGACTACATACTAGTTGCGTGGAGAAAAGAAATCGATATAATTTAGTCTAAAATGAAAAATAGGGGATGTAATATCATATTACAGAACTTTTAGAGGGCGTGCCACGATAATACTTAATTATTCAAGCAGAAAAGAAACCCTACACCTCTATTGATTAAGCCGCAGCTCTTGGCCATTTCTCCATTCCTTGCTCGTTTCCAAAGCCCAAAAAGAAAGAGGATAGAAAATGTCAGTCGGAGAGCTCGCTTGCACCTACGCCGCCTTGATTCTTCACGATGATGGCATCGCCGTTACTGTAATTTTTCTTTTTTAATATTTTCCGCCATTTAATTTACATGTCTTATTGGGTTATTTCGTTATGGGATTCGAATTTTTCCGTTCTACAGGCAGAGAAAATCGCCACGCTGGTGAAGGCCGCGAACCTGACAGTCGAGTCGTACTGGCCGAGCCTTTTTGCTAAGCTTTGCGAGAAGAAGAACATCGAGGATCTCATCGTCAACGTCGGCGCTGGTGGCGGTGGCGCCGCCGTCGCGGTTGCTGCTCCTGCCGGTGGTGCCGCTGCCTCTGCTGCTCCTGTTGAAGAGGAGAAGAAGGTAAAATTCTTTTGTTTACCTTTTTTATCCATTCCGGTTATATTTTAGTGGAGAAGGTCATATGTTGTTACTTACACTGGTTTATTGATATTCCATGTTAGAGCTTCAACTTAGTGAGAAATTGTTGAGTAATGTCTTTACAGTAATGTTGCTCGGTGTGTTATTTGATCAATTAGTGCTTGTTGCTGGATGTTAGTTCCATATATGATACACCATATAGAATAGCAGAAGCAATAGAAAGAAGGAAACAAAGCCAAAATTTTTCCTGCACTTCGCTCATTGATAACTATGGATTTAGACCTGGATCATGTATTTTTTGAGCATTCAAAATGATTATTTGTCCATTGACTAGTGCACACATATCTTGGGAACCTAAAGGATTGTAACATGGACATTCAAGTTTCTAATCCTTTTATTTTTCTCAAATTTCTTCTATTTTCTGTGATCTTTTCAGGAGGAACCTAAGGAGGAAAGCGATGATGACATGGGTTTCAGCTTGTTCGATTAAGAGGTGTTGTGAAAGTTTTGAAGTATGGTTTAGTTTCTAAATGTAGCTTTATTTGAAGTATGATTTAGATCATTATAAAGTGATTATGTTCTCTGTTTTTCATGGGTATCCTCATATGATCTGTTGGAGTATTTCAATTATTGAGGTTTATGAAGGATTATGTTTGTGCCATGTTGACTTTACTGTTCAAAATGCTTGATCAAAATGCTTGAGAAGGATTATATGTGTAGAATCATATTATTTGCAATTTGAATTTCTCACCATTTCTTGTCTTGTATGCAACCTCTAAAACTAAGTGTTAACCTTTTAAGGAAGAGTCATTCTACAGTTGGATTATCTAAAATACATGACAAGTATTTATTACTCATCTCATTATAATTTTATCACATTACTCATGGGTAAGTCCTCACATTCTTGACTGTGTATTGAATATTGATGAGTTGTTGGGGATAATTAGAGGATAAGATATGTCTGCCCTCCTTTAATCGTGCTTTATTTATGTAATATGACTTTAGGTGAATCCAAGTTAGTTTATATGATTAATAAATGCACTTGTGTAGTTCAATTAGAAAAAGACACAAGTTTTGTTTCAGAATCACTGGTGTCTGATACGGGAAAAGGTTTCTTATTGCAAATTTGTGTTCTAATTTATGTTTCATTCAATTGGACCGTACTTATACCATAATGAGATTATTTGAAGCTATTATGATGCCTCAATCTAAAACTAATAATGAATAATAAGATTCATGCTTGAAGACGTGACCCAAATATTAGGTCACCCGCTATACGACAAGAAAAAAAAAGGCAGTGGGTCGCGCGACCTAGGTCACAATTTGACTTTGGGTATATTTTTTCATTCTCTACAATAAGAGACCAAACTTGATATGTTTTGAAACACAATTGCAGTTTTTAGATAAATTAAAATAAAATAAATATTTAGGTTGAATTGGGTTGAAGATAAAAATAAACTGAGTTGTTTTAACCTGGAATTATAAGGGGTTCAATCCTACTAGATATTGGTTGTCCTCGGTCCTAAAGATGTTGGGGTTTTATATTTTCAATCATCTTATTAATCCAAAATAAATTATTGTCAATCTCAGTGTTACTATTAAAGAGTTTGGTGGTAGTAATCTGATTATTCTCCCAATTAACCCCAAACTAGTAAACCACCCGTATTATGTGTGTTAATTATAAAATTATGTTTAAAATATTTATTTTATATAAAAAATTTGAATAATTCTTAAAAAATTAAATTAAATATTTTTTTTTGGTATTTGATTTGACACAGGTCACTTTTTATCTCATACCTTATAATATACTTGAGAAATATATTTTGTTATTTTTCAGTTAGGATCAGTATGTAAGCTAATTTCTAGTTATAAATACACATATTATTATTTTTTATTTCATATATACAGTATCAATATCGAATTGAATGCAATAAAAAAAATGATTGATATAATATATTATAATAAAAATTGATTCTAAATATAAAAAACATTGAGTTTGAAAATATATTATAATCTAAGTTACTTTAGAATAATAAACAGTAGCATGTAAAATTAGGAAAATTTAAGAAAAAAAATTATATGTGAAATTATAAAAATCAGAAGATGAGATTAGTTTCCTAAAATTCTGAAGGGCCGAGTCCGCAACTTTTAACCATAGATAAGCTTGCACTCTGCATGTTAAAAATTATTTATCACTATTTGCCATGTTTTTAGTCCACGTTACGTTACGTATAGACATGTTATATGGGATATTATATATATTAGATCGGTCAACCGGGTCAGTAGAATGGATCAGGTTAATCGGGCTGATCGAGCAGAATACTCGCTGAACGATAAAGGTCAGAAGTTAAAGCTACGCGGATTTAGGAACACTTGGTAAGTACCCGCTTTAAGAGCCCTGATCGAAGCACCGGGCGGTCGAGTACAAATGGTTGTGAGATTGACCACCCTTTACCCTAAGGGCAGCTCAGCAATTTGCCCAGACCTGGTCGAATGTTAGAGTCTCTAAGGAAATCTTGGCCGCATGAGCGTAGGGACACGTGGCGTGAGATAATTGGCCCTTGCCCATAACGGTTTCTGATAGATTCCTGACACATTTTGAGTGCGCACACCTGAGGGCGTACGGTCGGGCAGATCGGGAAGCTGACTCATCCAAATCAGGCAGTATTTAGGGCATGTATCTCACCCCTATATATAGGGATAAGGCTCATCATTTTTAGATACAATCTCATATATTCTTTATACACTATCACATATATTCTTCATCTTCTCAAGGCTGACTTGAGCGTTGGAGGCTCTTCAATAGAAAATCCCTCCGGTGTGAGAGTTTCGTGCAGGTCTTGGCGTTCTGCCGGCGAGGAGAGCGAGCTTAAGGTGGTCCTCAACCGGCCTGGACGTTACACTTGTATTAACATGTATATTGGTTGATAAAAAAAAAATTTTTTTTTCCCCAAAAAAATAGAGATATCTCAACAAGGATAGTAACCCCCTCCTTTGCGTTCAAGCAGCTGAACGCGTTCAACTGCTTATTTTTTTATTTTATTTTTTTAAATCAATTGTTTATTTATATTATTTTGTTTTTTTATATTAATTTATTTTTAATTTATATCACACTTCTCAATATCTATCAATAACTTACGTTTCTTATCATCCCATTCTTTTTATACTTATAAATTTAAATACACAGCTGTTTTACAATTCTCTTGCACCAAAATTTTTGTTATCTATATTAGACGCAGTTGAACATATTTGGACTCATTTTGCATTCAACTAAAAGAGTTTTACTATTTTTCATTTGTAATCTTAATTAAAGTTTTTTTTATTTAATAATGTTATTTTTATTTTCAGCAATTAAAATTAAATATTTTACTAAAACAATATACTTATTTTAAGAATAGAATATTAGAATAATATTGAATGAGTGAGAAATGTGTCTCATATGTTGGCATTTAACTGAATTAATCAATGTGGGTGTATTTTAAATGGAGAGATGATTAGTGGAAAGATAACGTGAACATGATGTGGATGAGAGAAATAGTGTAAATTGTGATTAAATGAGTGGAAACGGATGAGGATGCCCTAACATAAAGAGTTTGCGCCATAAACCAACAGTAAAGTACCATTGGGAGAACCGGACATCATGTCACCTAAAACAACACACTGTTTAGACATAAACGAATGGTAAGTACATGCATACCGAGGCCTTCAGTTTACAGCTCTGAAGCACAAACTCAAACTAGACAAAGAGGCTGGTACAAGAAAGACCTCGACCGGCTGGAAGTCAATTCGTCCTCGTGCTTCCTCGCCGGTACAAAGCTTCATACCTGCAATGCGTATGTGTAGAAGATGAACTCTCAAGAGTAATATGAACGTAAAATTCCTGAAAGTGCACGTCTCACCCACGTCAAGGCAGCGAGAGAGGTAGTCTGCCGCCAGAAAAGAAAATGAGGGAGAGAGGGGGTCCTCCTACTGGAGCATCCGAGAAGAAGAGAAGAAGTCAGTGGGGTTGACATTAACCAAAACCGAGAACGTGCAATACTCAACACACACCTCCACAAAACTGACACACCGCTCTGGGAAACCCATCCAGATCAGTGCCTCCATGAGAAACGACCACTCAACCCTATTATACACCTTAGCCATGTCTAACTTCAGCGCAAGTTTCGGGACTCGCAACCGATTCACATGAGAGACGTAGATCATCTTCTGGACCAGAAGGATATTGTCACTAAGGGATGGTTGGGAAGAAGGAAGCAATAAGGGGCGCAAGCAAGTCCCTATCCGAGGTGAAAAGAGACTGAAAATGCACCACGGGCGACACTCGTATCTGGGACTCTAGAGTCAAGGGTGACCCGTTGGTCATACATTCTATGTCATTCCTCCTACTCCCTCAACAGCCCCCGCCCAACCACATCATGAAATCCAACTCCCAGTGGCAAATCTCAAACAACAAATCCAAGAGGCAGTCCCTTCACCCACGGAAACACAAAAATTCGGGTGGTTTGCGATATTTTTTGTCTCTTCAGCCAAAAGCATCACATTTTTGTTAGCCCTCCACAAAAACCAGCTCAGAGAAGTGTTGTTTAAGCCCTTTGAAAAAATACCGAATGGTGCGAAAGTTGCCGTTGTGATGTGTATGTATGTACTTTTTGTTGCTTTTATAGGATTTTGGCATTATATTACAATATTAGTTTGTTGGGAGAAAGAAAGAAAAAATTGGTTAAAGAAAATACCATAAAAGTAAGATGGTATTTGAAACCATTTGTTGATGCTATCGTGGTTCTCGTGGTAGGCTTAATCATGATTTCGGAAAAAATAAGAAAATATCCCTTCTCCGTAACTACCATATATTCAGCCACGCTTTCATGTATTCTGGTTATCAATTTATTGACAAATATTGAAGTATACAATATGGTAGAATGTGGGATAGCCAGTAATACTGGTCGTAATCGGATTTGGAATATAAATCTTCAAAGATGTATTCGACCACGTGCACGAGAATATTTGGGTTTGGTTGGATAAGAGAGCAGTTTGATCGGATGAAAAATTAGATGTAGCACCTGTTTTCTTGTTTTAGTTGTTTTTTTTTTTTTTTTGTANNTCATAGTTTTCGTTTGTAAGAAAGAGCATGTTTAATGGAAAATTGTTATTTTTTTATCATGTAGCATACAATATATTTTTTGTGAACGTATTTGATTGATTTTATGTTTGTTTATTGAAAAATAGGTGGGTGTTCAAATACTTGGTTTATTGGAAAAGATGTGGAGTGTTCAAGTTAGATTATTTTCTATATATAATCTATTTATATAATCAATCAATCAAGTTCTTATAACGCTCTGTAACTAAGGAAACAAACATCAACTAAATGTTTTGCCTTCTTATACTTAATCTTTGGAAAAACTTTGCTTGCTTGGCTTCGCCTTGCTAACATCCTTTGAAAAAACAAACTATTGTTTAAAGTCTTAGGTCGATTGATGGCTTAGTTTGCTTAATATTCTTAACCTAAAGCATCTAGGGTCCAAACTAATTTCAATTAACTCAACTTGATTCAAGTAGGCCACATATACACGCATCTAGGAGATAATGTCTATTTTTTTAAAACGAAACACAATTTTATAAAAGTCCAGCATGCACAGCGAATTTAAAATAGACACAACTTTGAGCACATAAGTCATATAAGCATGATTCCATTGGCATATCAATTCTAAGTCATGCACCTACAACTTTAGTTTAGCTCACAAAAGCATATAAGATCATTCAGGTAGTGAAATAGAAGCTAACTTCCGAAACTAAGATGATGCCTGA